ATATCTAAAAACTGAAAAATGGAAAAATTAAAAACCTAAAAAATTGAAAAATTAAAGAATTGAAGAACAGGAAAATCAAAACACTCGAAGGTCAAGAAATGGGAAAATCAAAACATCGATTAATTGAAAAATCGAAAAATTGAGAGTTTATAAAAGTCAAATTTGAAAAATTAAAAAATCGAAAATTTGACAAAATGACAATTGAAAAACAGAAAATCTAAAACCGGGAAGTCGAAAAATCAAAAGATTAAGAAATCGGAACTTTTGAAAAATTCGAAAACTTGAAAAATTGAAACATCGAAGAACTGAAATGAAAAATCGAGAAATCAAAAAATCTAAAATTTTAAAAATTAAAAAAGTAAAAAAATCGACACATCGAAAAATCCAGAAGTCAAAAATCGAAAAGTCGAAGAATCGAAATATTGAAAAATCCCAAAACTGAAATATCGAAAAACTGAAAAATGAAAGAAAAACTGAAAAATTGAAAACCTGAAAAATCCGAAAACTTACAAATATTCAAAAACTGAGAACCTAAAAAGTCGAAAAATTGAGCAATAGAAAAGTCCAAAAAGTGAGGTCGAAAAATTGAAACCTTAAAAAAATAAAAAAATCAAAAATCAAAAACCTGAAAAATCGAAAAATTAAAGAATTCAAGAACTGGAATATGGAAACCCTCGAAAGTCAAGAAATGGGAAAATTAAAACATAGATTAATTGAAAAATCGAAGAATTGACAGTTTATAAATGTCAAATTTGAAAAATTGAAAAATCGAAAATTTGAAAAAACGACAAATGAAAAACAGAAAATCTAAAACCGGGAAGTCGAAAAATCGGTTGAATAAGAAATCAAAACATTTGAAAAATTCGAAAACTTGAAAAACTGAAATATCGAAAAAGTGAAATGTAAAATCGAGAAATCGAAAAATCAAAAATTTTCATCAAAAACTGAAAAATCTAAAATTTAAAAAAAGTAAAAAGTCGACACATCGAAAAATCCAGAAGTCAAAAATGTCGAAGAACAGAAATACTGAAAAATCCCAAAACTGAAATTTCGAAAAAATGAAAAATGAAAGAAAAACTGACGAATCGAAAAACTGAAAAATCGAAAAAATAAAAAAATCGACAAATCGAAAAGTCGAAGAATCGAAATATTGAAAAATCCCAAAACTGAAACATCGAAAAACTGAAAAATGAAAGAAAAAGAAAAATGGGAAACTAAATCGGGAAATCAAAACATTGAAAAATCGAAAAATTTAAAACGACAATTGAAAACAGAAAATCTAAAACCGGGAGTCGAAAGATTAAGCAATCGAAAAATTGAAAAATCGAAAAAGTAAAAACGACATATCGAAAACTCCAGAAGCCAAAAATCGAAAAGTCGAAGAATCGAAATATTGAAAAATCCCAAAACTGAAATATTGAAAAACTGAAAAATGAAAGAAAAACTGAAAAATCCCGAAACTGAAATATCCAAAAACTGAGAATCTAAAACATGGAAAAATTGAGAAATCGAAAAATCAAAAAAGTGAAGTCGAAATATCGAAATCTTAAAAAAAAATCGAAAAATTGAATAAATAATAAGTAAACTGAAAAATCCCAAAAATTCAGAAATTAAAAAATTGAAAAATTGAGAAATCGAAAAATCAAAAAAGTGAAGTTGAAAAATCGAAACCTGAAAAAATAGAAAAATTGAAAAACCAAAAAACATTAATTGAAAAATCGACAAAAAAGAGTTTATAAAAGTCAAAAATTTAAAAATCGTAAAATTGAAGAGAAAATCTGAAAACCGAGAAATTAAAAAATTGAAAAATTGTAAAATAAATAGGAGTAAACTGAAAAATCCCCAAACTAAAATTTCGAAAAATTGAGAATTCGAAAGTTGAAACAGCAGAAATTATGGTCGAAACCGGTTAGGACTATGACGCTTCTCTATGTTCTCTGGTTTAACCATCTAGTCCAGTAGTGTCGGAGATTACTTGTCTGATAAAAGTGGTACAGACAGACAGACAGACGGAAACGGGAGACCACTTTTTTCGTACTCTAGACGTCATGACACGTCGAGAAATTATGAAAGTGGCAATTCGCCCGATGGACCCGATTACAATACTTCCTTAGCTTACGCTCGGGAAGTAAAAATATGAAGTAGGAGTATATTTTTTTAATAAACAGCTCAGAGAAATGATTTCCAATAAAATTGTTGTTGTTTGTTATGGCTATGTTGACTCATCTAAATTACGCACTTTTTTTTTCTTACTCAGAAAATTTTCTAAGCTCCTCGATGTATATACGTGTGTTTGATTTATGCAAAATGCATGTTGAAATTTATAATTCATTAGATCATGCCTCTAAAATTAGACGTAAGATTTATTTCAACGTTAGTTTCCGAGATCAATTTACGTTATGTTTCAATTGTTACTGGATAGTTTTTTAAATTTACTTCCTGAAAACGCTGAATTTATAAGCTTTGTCCGATTACAAAAGAATATCTTATAGTTATAAATTCTGTTTTTGTTTTTACAAACAATTTTAAACAAGTCAATCAACTGTTCATAACAAATATACAAATCAAAACCTAGCAAGGACATACTCATTTATCAAACGACATCTTCAATTAATATATCTTTAATAGTACATATTCTTAAATCCTTTATGTGACACTACATTTCCGTAAAACATTAAAATAATACTATACAGTAATACCTAAAGGGATTTCAGTTTTTGGTAATTTTTAAAAATCTGGTTGGAATAGGTTTATATCTATGTTGGATGTTATTATGATTATGTCGAATGATTCATACTTTGAAGAATTATTTTCTACGCAGTTCTAGGCAATTATAGTGATATGGAAATTGGACTCCCAAAGTCTTTTAAAATTTTCATGGCAGTCATATTTATAATTCAAATTCTCACGCATTTTAAATTGATTACTACATATTTTTATTCTTTTTTATCATTTTCCCATACCAATTTACTATCTAAATAAACACCTAAACAGTTTTATGTTGGTTCCAGTTTTTAAATAAAAGTAAATTAACTGTACATTAATTATCATTTAAACACAATTTGTGAACCAAGTAGTGACATCGCTTTGAGTTCGTTTATAATGTTTTAGGTCGTTCAATGTATCACAGCTACTGAGAGATGTGTTGTGTTCATAACATCTAATCAGGATATGATTGTGAACTATACTGAAGAATTTATTCAATGCCATGGTAATGGATGTTTTTTTCTTTTAAAAATAACTGTAATTTTGATATTTTATGACCTCTGTAAGTTACAATAAAGATATGTGTGGGCTGTTAAAGTATAGTTAAAGAAGCATGCTAAAGGTATGTTTCAAGTGAGTTTTTCCATAACAAAACTTTGTGATAACGTCATCAATAAAATACTTTATCGACTGAAAAAATAATCAATGCGGTTGAGGAAAGAAATCGTGGATCGTACAATTTAATTCTTTTTAATTTACCCGAACCAGAGGAAAACACTCGAATTAAAATTGAATGGATGGTAATTTTTTCCTGCACGCCAATAGTAGATAATCAATAAAACCCCACCCTACTGTCTCTACACAAATATACATAGAGTAAAAATAATACAAAATTAGTTAGCAATGAATCTGTAACACACTGATTTGTCTATATTACTTCACGTTTTTTACCAAAAAGTAAATGGCAATTTTTATATACCAAATAGAAGAACAATAATGGGGTCATCAAGCTCCACAAAGAGCAATTTTCTATTAAATACAAAAAAAAATTGAACTTTCAGAATACACATCAGTTTTTCGCAAAAGGTTTTGTAAGGATGTAAAAGAAAGCCTTGACAGGAAAATTAATACCGCATTTGGAAGAACCTTCACCAATTATGGAAGACAATGTTCCTACCACAGTGGTGTGTTTGAAAAACAACTCTGTTCGTCTTAGAAAAAATTCACATTAAGCTGTGACTCAACAAAATAACAAAGCTTATCCTTATCTCTACAAAAATGAATTGTTGCACGTGTTCCAATTTTTCAAGCTTTCAACGCTTCAAACATTTGCAAAAAAGTATTTCATATAGGGAAAAAATTCTTAAGGGCTGATAAATGCCTGAAAACACCAAAACTAACCACTGAAATTAAAAAGAACAAAAATTAATTTTAAGTTAAGTTTGTTATTCATTGGAACCGGTTAAAACTGCACTTTTGCTATTTTAAACTCTTATAAATCTTTACAATGCATAAACTCGACTTCTCGGTCATAGTAATTTAAAAATGATAAATGAATTCGGTTTTTTAGTTTCAAAGTTAAATTGTAAAATGTTATCCAGTTTTGATTTTTTTCCATAAATATGAACGTCTAGAGTCAAAAATCAAAACGGTTCCATAAGTCACAAGTGTATGAGTATGTTATTTTATAGATTTAAATAAAATTTGGTATGCAAAAATTTTGAGGTGACAATCGATTTACTTGTAGTGGAAATTATGATTATCTGTCCAATAAATATCGACATAAACGACAGGCGACAAACAAAAGAAAACGGACGACCTATTTTTTCATTGTCTAGCTAGCGACTGGTATATAAAACCTACTACGAAATTAAAAATCCCAGATCGTTATAATTTGAGAAAAAATGAATGAAAGGTGTCAAAAAATTCATCATACCTTCGTAAATAGCTAAACACTTTTTAAATACAGGACAATACACATAATCAAAGCGAACATAGTACAGATTATTTATTACACTCAACCGGCACCAAAACAGATTACACTATCAAGCGAAGTTGTGTACATTGTTATCATTATTTTACCGACGCCTCGTTTCCCTTTCGAATTAATTAAATTGACTATTGTTCAAACGATAACATTCGAACAAGGGGAAACATATTAAGAGACTCGTCTGCACTAGAGGTTAACACACAGGGAACTTTTTTAACCTTAACCTCTCCGGTCAATTCACAACAATTTGCAATAAGTGGTAGACATTGAGTAGAAAATGAAAATTGATACTGGAAATGCTTACACAAGCATGTGCCACAAGTGAGAAAGCTTTCGTTGAAGTCTTCATAATTGATGCTGACTGTCTCTACGAGGGTCGAGTTCATGCTGACCATCCTCTCCCCGAGCCTCGTTCTGAAAAGAAATACAGAGAAACGTTAACTAAGAATGTTCCTTTGGAGTAGAAATAAAAATAACTGCAGTCGCAAGAATAAATCCGTTCTTGTAATGATTTATTGATTTAATTTATGTGATCCAATTAATTAATTACATTATTCAATGTACTCTAGGCAACATGTTCACATTTAAACCACACATAAAAGTATACTTAGTGTGTGTAAACAAAAATTAAACACGTAAAGCCCTTTTCATCTCACTCTAGAGTCAACGAACTCCCCTTCATCAAACGCTTGGTAGTTTCATGCCCATTTACCATGAAAACACCATTATATTCAAATTGATAGACACACCGTCAGTGAAATGGTTACGTCAATGGGATGGTTAAAATTTCATAATGATATTTCAATTAAGAGCTGTAGTGTGATGCTAGATTCATCAAATGAGGCCAACTGACGTCGGTTTCAAAGCTTTTTAAATATTCGTGTTACGATAAATGAGAAAATTATTAGATGGTAATTTAAATAGAGGAATAAACTCTGAAGTAGACAGTATAGCTTCAATGTATAAGAAATCTTATACAATTTAAATTTATAAATTCTTATAATACGAACTCGTAAGCTCCATCTTATTCATTAATAACGCAGATTTAAGTCACGGACTTAGCGTACGATTATAAATCAGGTTCAAACTGATTAACATTCCAAAACGTGCTTTCGGAATAAGTTTGTATTAGGTAATTCAAATTAATTCCCACTAGGCTTCTGTTTTGATTTAATAAATTTTGATATGGCATTATAACTAGTTGGTGGTTAAATGTAATGGTTCCAACTGTTAAGCAAATTTCGAAGTAACGGGTTCTTTAGTTTCGTAGATTACCGCTCTAATAAAATCATCAACAGAAAAAAAAAAAGGAATAGTTTTTGCGTACTTGTTGGCGACTATTACACCAACAAAAAACATAAACGCTAGCATAACACGACCACACCATCCGTTATATCATATATTACGCATACGATCCCAGTTTCTTCATCGACCGTCAGCAGCCTAACTTTCTAATTGTTTATATGCAAACACTTAATCTCCGCTTCCAATCATTGTTCAAGAATTTGATCTCGAGAAGCGTAGATCAAAGAGACCGTAACTCCACTTGTTTGAACTTCAACACAAAGCAAACAAGCAAAGAGATCATCTGCCTGCTTAATAAAAATCACATTTTCTTCATTTTGGAGGTCATCAAAAACACTTTTTAAACTTGATTTATTATAAAGAATAAATTAGCTGACAGTTGTTACAGGCTGTTTGAGGTTCATCTCGTTTATTTACTTTTAGTGTTACGTTATTCTCAAAAAATATTATCAAACCACAAACAGTTCCGGAGAGAATGAAGACATTTCAGTAAATGTGTTGCAACCATCCTTTGTTCGTGCCTCATAAAAATTTTAAGAATTCAGTTGGTAATTTCCGACAAAAATATATTCCTAATTGTTCAAATTTTTTTTTGTCACACAAAAAGTACATTTCCATTGTGATGCATTTAATAATAAATTTGATGAGATCATAAACTTTTTTAGAACCATTAACAAATTTGAAATTAATCGGTTGGATATTATTACTAATCAAATCGTAAGTTTTTTAATTTTAGACTTGCATCTTCGGCGATTTAGCATTCAGTTGGGTCTTCGATTCATTTACAACTAATATTTAATAAATTAATTAAATCTTCTGAGATATGAATAAATTAACCTTTCGTAACCCATATAATTTAAAATACTTAAGTCATAAATTGTCTGTAATATGAGTTGATAAAGCGCGCTGAGGATGTGGAGAGATTTCCATGAAAATAAATAGATAAAATACGCGTGAAGGCCGAAAATTGTAGGAAAACGAGCAGAAAAAAAATCAGTCCGAAGTCCGAAATTACAAGATTTAGGGCCGATTTACGTAAGCTCAATTAAATATTTGACTGAAATTAAATATTTTTAATGCGGAAAATACCATCTAAAAAATATAACTGGAATGATAAATTATTATTAAAGATATATGCTTATGCTGATGATTTTGTAAGTAAATGCTGCTAAATATTGTTACGAAAGAAACCCATACGGCGCCCCAGTACGACGCCTATGGGTTTTAGTATGTACGGCGATGATGACTCATTGTCGGCGACGGCGATCAGAGAAAAGTCTGGAAGCGGAAGCATATCCAGCATTTTCGAGTTGAGTTTTTTCTTTACACAATTTTGCGCTGACGTCATCAACATTTTTGCAACGACACTTATATCACCTTGGATTGCTGCAGTGTAATACTAAAAATAACAGTACAGTATAACCTCGATAATCCTAATTAATTGGGGGAAAGGTGTGTTCGGATACGCGATTTTCCCAAAAATATGAAAGGTAAATGAATAAGAACTTCATATATTGGTAAAAACAAACTTCAAGAAATAAACTTTAATTTTATTAAACACAAATAAAATTTTCTTAAGCAACAATGTATAATCAATATGTATATGTATTCCAAAAAATATTACTCCGTGACAATAAACACACTATATTTTTGGAATCAGCACGTCAAGATCTATAACCCTGAATTTTTTGAAAATTTTTAGACGACTTTTTCAAAAATGAAATTTTTACTTACGCAAATTTCGACCCATTTTCGACGATTTTCTAAATTTAACTAAATATGTATACTTTCTTGTATGTTTCGGGCCGCAGAAGTCACTTCCGGTCTCATTTCTTCGATAACTCCAACTCCAGAAATGTCGCGATTTTAAAAAATTTCAAAAAATCCAAATGTTACGGAATTTTTCAAAAATATTGCTCCGCGACCCTAAACACGCTATATTTTTGGAATCAGCACGTCGGGATCTATATCCCTGGATTTTTTGAGAATTTTTATACAACTTTTTCAAAAATGAAATTGTTCAAATTTCGACCATTTTCGACGATTTTCGAAACATAACTAAATACATTGATCAGATATTGGACCATTTTTGCATATCGGTGCATGTTTGCAAGTTCAATTCGGATTGCAGAGTTTTTGTTCAAATTAAAGAGACTTGGACTTCTGTTCGGATAATCGTGGGTTCGGATTATAGAGGTTATACTGTATAAAAATTTTCTGGGAAAATAGAATAAGCCGTTCCTGATTTAATGAATAAAATAAATTGTCTCGTTCATTAATTTTTTGAGCCACCTGTTCAAGCTGATCTAAAAAATATGAATGCGATGATAAATAACAAGTAAAAACTCATTTTGCGTAGAATTTATTCGGCAAAATTTTGACGTCATCAATTTTTTAGGAGGAATAAACAGATAGATCTTGATTAACAATTTACCACACTTACGATAACTTTAAAATGTCTGCAAAGTTTCAAAGTATTCGGTTTTGTAATTCTTGATTTATTCAATAAAATAAACTGACTGATTCATTAATTTTTTTGAGTGACTCTGTATAAGCAAAACAAAAAAATGAGGTTCTTAATTTGATCAATAAAAGATTGGTCGAGGACAATTATAAATATAGTCAAACAAACCAAAATGTAACAATAATCATGGATACAGACAGTCAGACAGACAGGCAGACGGAAACGAGAGACTACTTTTTTCGTATTATAGGGGTCATGAAACGTCGAGAAAATATAAAAGTGAACATTCGTCCAATGGACTCGATTACTGCACTTCCTTAACTTACGCTCGCTCGGCAAGTAAAAAAAAATTTGGGAATACAATACTATTAGTATTAATTACAAACATTTTGTGACGTCATCATAAATTTTTTTAATGGAAAAACTCACTTGAGAACGCGTAGCACACTTCTTTACCTTGACTTTAACATTACAGACTTATCTTTATTTCAACTTAATGCACATATTCTTAATAACAAGAGACTGGAAGCAACTTTAAAATGGTAAATTTTAACCTTCGCGTTTCTCTACAAATTTTTAATTTCTTTATTTTAACGATTTTTCGATTTTTCATTGTTGCGATTTTATGTTTTGTTTTTTCAATTTAAATTTCTTCAATTTTTCGTTTCTTCAATTTTTCATTTTTTTTTGTTTCCTCAATTTTCCGATTGATCAATTTTTCGTTTGTTAAAATTTTTGATTTTTTGATTTCCGATTTTGTAATTTTTTGCATTTTCAGTTTCAATTTTTTCAGTTTTTCCTTTCTTCAAAGTTTCGATTTGCAACTCTCTGAGTTTTCAAGTTTCAATTTTTCGATCTTTCAATTTTCCAGCTTTTGAATTTTGCAATTTTTGGATTTGAGTTTCTCGAAATTTTAAATTTAATTTTTCGTTTCGGTTTCTTATTTTCTTTATTTTAACGATTTTTCGATTTTTCAGTGTTTCGATTTTGTAATTTTTTGTTTTTTCAGTTTAAATTTTTTCAACGATTTTTCGTTTCTTCAAACTTTCGATTTGCAATTCTCTGAGTTTTCAAGTTTAAATTTTTCGGTCTTTCAATTTTCCGGTTTTTGAATTTTGCAATTTTCGGCTTTGAGTTTCTCGAGATTTTAATTTTAATTTTTCGATTTGCAATTTTTACTTTTTTTTGTTTCTTCAATTTCTGGATTCATCAATTTCTCGTTTGTTTAAATTTTTGATTTTTTAATTTCTAGTTTCAAGTTTCGGTTTTCATTTTTATTTTTACGATTTTTCGAGTTTTTAATGTCCCGATTTTGTAATTTTTTGTTTCTCCAATTTTTCAATTTTTAGATTTTGCAATTTTTGGATTTGAATTTCTCGAGATTTTAAGTTTTAATTTTTCGTTTCGGTTTTTTATTTTGCTTATTTTTTCAATTTTTCCTTTCTTCAAATTTTCGATTTGCTATTTTTCAATTTTTCATTTATTTTGTTTTTTCAATACTTCGATTCATCCATTTTTCGTTTGCTCAGATTTTTAATTTGCAATTTTTCGTTTTGGTTTTTTAATCTTTATTTTAACGATTTTGCGATTTTTCAACGTTTCGATTTTGTTTTGTTTTTTCAATTTCAATTTTTTCAATTTTTCG